ATTTCAAAAAAAAAAATAAAAAAGGTTTTGACAAAAATGAAGGTCAAATAGGGGCTAAATAAAGACCAGTACTCAATTAGGTAGAACATATATTGCCATATCTTACAAATGCAACACACGTGCCCCTATTAGCTCTTTAGGTGAAATTCTCACATGACCTGAACTCGGGTATTCTAAAACATCATCATCCCGGTTCCACATCATCCTAAATCTTCAAGTAATGCTATTCATTAGGGGGTGTGATGTGAACCCCGACAGCTAGATCGTTATTAACCCACAAAAGAATGACATAAACCTCAAGAAAGTCAAAAATCAAAGTTTATGGAATTTGACCCAAAAATAATGAATCAGACAAACAACCACACAATTACAAAGATATGCTGACCTTTTGATTATAAAATTTATGAGACCAAAATCCGGATTTGTAAGATCGATCCAATAAATTATTGAACCAAGAAACCAAGACAATTACAAGAATACCTTGACCCCGTGATCACAAAAATCTACGAATCTCCCTTGATTGGTGAACACCACAAGATTAATCTTGATAAGTTCATTGATTGTTCATGAAGAACAAGAAGAAAGCAATCCTGCCTCTCAATTAATTTAATATAAAAATTCTTCGAATACAATAATGAAATAAATTTCCTATTTATACTAAAGTCTAGAAATATAGCAAAAAAAAAAAAAAAACACCTGATTTAAGAGTCCTAAAATAATAAACTTGCTAAAAATAAGAAATTGAGTCAAAATAAGATTTTCTCGAGAAAATTGCAACTTTGGTCCCGAAGTATACTATGCGGCCGACTTTGGCCTAACCCTGATCATATTAGGGTGGGTATTTTTTCAAGAATTGGTGGAACAAGAACCGGTCAATTTGGTTTTGATTCCTCGACTAAATGGGTCAATTTTGGTACAATGTATCGAGAGCCGATCGGTTCTAGCCCAGTTATTGATACTGGCTTGAGAATCAATAGTGAATTTGATTCTTCCGAATTTCTCTTGTTGCTTGCACCAAGATGCACTAGATCTTTAAACAATAAACCCCAAAATTGTCCCACGTTAAAAATTCATTTCCCTTATGCTTCTTATTCTTTCCTTTAATGGTTAATCAAAATTCAAGTCTAAATATGAAGTGGGGTGTCATTGGTTGTGTACATTGGAAGTGTACAAATAGAATTATCCTAAATAATTCAATAAATACTTTATAATTTCATAGTTTTAATGCAATATAATAGGAAAAATATGTTTTAAGTTCAATATTTTATAAGAATTCACATTTTGTGTTGTTTCAAAGTGATCACCATCAAGAATCAAAATCTTTGAGGAATGCTAAAAATAATCAGGTTATTACTATACGAATTTTCTTAAAAAACTACTTTTTATTCGAGATTTTACCGTTTATTTGGTATTTAATAATAATAAAAAAATTTTAATGACATGATCTTGAGCTTTTCATTGAATTTTTGTTTGTTGTCTTGTACAATTGATTTTTTTGTTAACAATTAAAAGAATAACAAGTAGTTTCATACTTTATTTTTATAATTTTTCAATATAAAGAACTGGATCAGATTGGACCTAATTGGAACCGATTGGTTCGGTTTCAGTTCGGTTCTATAGTTGGATATGAAACCAATGGCTCCATGTTTAAAATTTTCATTGGCATTCAGTTCGGTTCTCTACAAGATTGGACTAAACCGGACCGCGCCCACTTCTACTCTTCATAATGAAGGCTACAGGTAATCACTAAACATGGCATACACCTGAGTATTTGTTGTTTGATGCATTAATATAGTAATTTGTTATTGTCTTATCAATCAATTAACAAATTGTCATGTTTATGTCATGTAGGGAGATTGTCAGTAGTTTTCACTATAAATAGTGTCATTCTAAATCTCCACCGCCATGTTTCAATGCTATAAGTTGCTTCCTATTTTATGGCTAAATATACTCACCACATTTTTTAATAATTAAACTACATTTAAATTGTATGAAAAGTTCACAACCTTTACATAGTATCACATTTATGTCTCAAATTTTTTTTATCACATTTTAATTCTCAAATAACATAAATTATTCCCGATTATGATTTCTCTTCAAAATTTTCTTTAAGATAGAGTAAAAGGACATATTTGCCCATTATATTTTTAAATAAGCAAAGCAACTAATAATAGAAAATGCAATTAAATATTTATTTGACTCCCATTTTTTATGTGGTATATATTTTGAAATAGTAAATTGATGAGAATGTTTGGTTAAAAAATAAGGAAAATTTTTGGATTTATGTATAATGTTGTTTTATTGAATAATATGTAGTGGAAAAGAAAATAGATAAAAATGTATTTTGTAAATAATGTGGACCAAACAAGGGTTTATATAAGTTTATTAAAATATTTATGTCATGGTTACAAGGTGAAAGAGTGGTATAACTTGAAATGAAATTAAGCCCTTGTTTGAGCCCCTTTATTTAGTAAAAATAGATTTTGTAATAGTGAATATGCCGTTGTAAATGAGTTTGGAGAAAAATGTATTATTGAAAAAGAATAATTTTATTTATAGTGAAGATTATCGATAACATTGATTGATATTACAGGGAAATTGAGAAAACCAGAGGTATGTAGTCCTTTGCCCCAACTTTTACAGAAAATGGGTTGAATGGTATTTATTTATTTATTTATTTGAAAAATGAGTGATTGAAAAAGAAGGAAAAACTTTTGATTTATGTGTAATATTATTTTATGAAGGATTGTGTGGTTGAAAATAGGAGAGAATAAAATAGATGTAATGAAATGAGATTCAAACATGGGCTTATAAATACTTCTTCACATTAGGAATCACTTGTGCCTAAGAAAGAAAGATTAGAAATAGTGATATAATCAAAATTTGTTCTTTTCTTTTTGTATAAATTTTAAATTATCTAGACATTCTTGTAAACTAGACAATATTAATGAGTATTTTCACTCGAGAAAATTTAATCAATCATCATTGAACTTTACAATTGTTACCACTTACTCACTCAATCTTTGACTGGTTACCCGTTGGTCACTTATCTTTTTATATAATTACTCATCTATCATCAATCAACTAGTTTTTGCAAATTGTGGACGAAAAATTGCACGTGGCAAATGCCAATCCATGCTAACGCCATTAGCCATGTCCATGTCATCGAAAATGCTCACACCAAACACACTTCTCTTCCTCAAATCGAATTCCCAAAATTATAATCCCCAATTGGAAGCTCTAATTCCCATCCCCCAACCAGAAATTCCAATTAGCAAGACACCGGCCCTCAGCTCCACTTCGTTCCACCTCACCTAACCCTCCCTTACCTCTCTCTATATATGTCTCTATATAGACCTGCAAAAGGCGTAAAGGTCAAATTTTCATGGCAAAAAATCGGGTGAAGAGGCTTAAGAAAAAAATCGTTGATCCCAAAAATGGCTACTGCCCACACAGACCAAGATTTACCACAACCTCCGCTTGCTGGTCCCTTTGTCGCCACCATCCTAACCACTATCCATTACCTACACTCTCCCTCCACCATTCCACCACCATCTCCGTCGCTCTCTCATCCACCCCTTCCTCACGACACCGCCCCTAGCCATCAACTTCATTGAACAAATCCACTCTCTCTCCCTCTCTCTGTTATTGCATTTTGCTTTATTGCTACAATGGTTTGCAAAGTTTTTGGAGCATGTGACTTGCAATTGCTGACGTAGACATATATTACCTTTCAGTTTGAAGAAGTTTTGGACGTTGGATTTGCCAGTTTATTTACCATTGCCGATGGGCTTACTTCAACTGTAACTTTTGCTTCTGCCTGTGCTTCTACTAGTATCACAGTCCTCATTGGCAATGATTTGCCTGTACATCTACTGGTATTAAGTCAAAGTATATAGTTCACTAATATTTGTAGTTGTAACTTTATACCATTCAAGAGATGTGATTAGTGTTTTCATATAAGTATGAATTCTACCAAGGAAATAGTTCTGAATGCTGATGTTGATTGTAATAGTTGTAACTTAGCTTGTGAAGTTTGTATTATTCATAATTCGTTGAATGGCTCGTTTGCTGTAATGTGTATTTGTAGTTGGTTGTAATAGATGCAACTTGGCTTTATCTACTTTGTATTATTGGATGAATGAATTATCTCGTCTCTTGGTTTTTTTCTTGTGTGTGGTTGAGTTGTAGTTTTCATCGTTGGCAGTATTGTTTGTGAATTAAAAGTTACTCGTTGTTGAAAATTGGGATTGATTGAGGTGCAGAAATGTGATGCACTAGATTGAATTGAATCATTGTAATGCACCAGATTGTACATCATAATAAGACGTTGTCTTCACGAGCTGAGTGGAGAGTGTCCTGAACAAATTTATGGATACCATTCTTATAATCTCTTGCCTAACAGTATCTATGAATTTTCCATTGGCAGAAGTGATGTAGTCAACAAGCTCCACCAATGTCTACCGCTTGATGTCTTTTTCTTTCAAGTTTTTTGTGGGTCAGTTAACTCAAACGCTACACAACACGAATTCAACTTTTTGATAAACAAGGTTTGCTTCTCTGAATTTGGGACGTCTGTAAAACTAGGAAGTGCCTTATATGGTACAATTCCTGCATTACCATTAACTATTACTGCATCAGAGATTTTATTTCCATAAATTAGACTAGAATTAAAATTTGAATTCAATCCTGAAAGAGATGCAGCATTTGAATTACAAATGACAATCTTCTTCAAGTGAACTCAACCGTGCATTAGATTGTGCATTAGCCAAAATCAGGTACATTAGTTGATGCACCAGAATCATCAGCTAATGCACCAGCCTGAGGATCAGCTAAGCTAATGCTGACAATCGGGTACTGATGCAACGGCACCAAAATTCAGGCGCAACAACACCAAGAACCAGCTTTGAATATAAACTAGTAAATTGCTAGAATATAACCATTCATTCAAAAAAACATTCATCCATGATGGTTAAACTACATTTCAAGAAATAGTCCATTGTCAAAAACCTCCATGACGACCCTAAAGTACAGCCATAAAGGACATAGGTTGCCAACCAAAAATAAATTCTAGTGAGCTGCTCTACTCTTCCTTGTCCTTGGATGTGCAAAAGGAATTCATCCTCTGACCACTTTTGTGTGCTTTACCCTATCAACCCTCTTTTTTGAATTTTCTTGGGCTTGTAAGACCAAAAAATTGTCAACCATGTTGGCTAGTGGAATATTTTCCGTTTGCCTTACCGCAGTAGGAAAATGACCATTGTTGTTAGATTGTGCATCACTTGTAATCCCAAGACCAGGTGTGGGCATGAAAATGTATCTAATTGTTGGAGGAATTTGTTGCACTTCATTTGTTAAATTCTTGTTTGCTCTTCGAGGTACCAACTTGGCCTATGTTAGAAAAAAAGTAGTTAAGACTCAACCTAATGAGAAATCAATGGAAATCATAGATTAACAAAACCAAAAAAATTACCCTTGAACTTTGACTTTCAACGTGGCTAGGTCTCTCTTGATTTATATGATTGATATCATTTCCATTCCAATCCTGAAATCAAGAAACATAGTTAAAAACTTAATTTCAACTATATAACTTTGAAACATGCTAATTTCATAGAAAAAACAAGACAAAAACCTCATTTGATGTATCTGCCTTATCATGGTAACGCTTGTTGTGGCCAGTTAAACCACATACACTAAAGTCATCTTTACTATGGCTTTTTTCATCATTCTTGATGTGGAACCAGAATGAGTGACTACATCATCCTCTTGCTGCCTTCTTTGCTTTTTCTGCTTCCTTCCCCCTTTTCGCCACAACCGGCCTAGCGGTTGTAAAGGGAGATTATTCACTTCTGGCCACAATGCTTATCGTTAATTGGATTAAAAATATTTTCATAGCACTATAAATAGGTTTGCATGGTATGGCACCCATGCACATATTTTGTAGGATTATCTTCTTTATCTAAGTATAACAGCAACCCCATGCCCACATGGAATTCCAGTCAAATCTCATCTCCTAAATGTACATCTTGTTTGACGAATCAACCACATATTCCCCAGTAGGATATTTTCACATAGATCTATGGGCCCCAAACTACTCTACTTCACATTCCTCAGCTATTTCCATAGATTTAACTAATTTTTGTTGGATCTTAGGACACAAAGGTCTTCTGGCTCTTCTCATCTTATCCTTTCTTGATTGTATCCTCTTCATGCAGCTAATATCCATGTCAATTAACAAAGTCAAGATTGATTTCTCCCTATCCTCTAGCACTACATTGTTGAAAACTTCACATAAATTGTCAAAAATTATATCATTCTTTACCTTAGTTAAGAAATGAGACTTACTCCATTCACATGGATCCTTTTTCATTAACCACTCATATGTATCCGCAATCTCCTTCACAAGTTCATCCATCCAAAACTTCCAATCAAGCACAGTAGTTGACTTTGCAGCTTTCCATAAGTAGCCTTTAAGTGCCAAATTCTTAAAATCAACCCTAAAAAAATTTGTATACATGTTCTTCATGCAAAACCTATGTTTAGCATTAGGGTTCAAGTCCTTAATAACCTTTTGTAGTCCCTTCGCCTATCAGTTATGAAAGTCCATTCAATGCTATTTACAATCTTTAAATCTTCACCCAAATGACTAACGAACCATCTCCAACTTCTAGCATTTGCAGTCTCCATTATTGCGTACGCTACTAGGTAAATACAATCATTGGCATCTAGTGTCACTACAACAAGCATCTATCCGCCAAAATTTCCTTTCAAAAAACGCCCATCTAAACCTAGAAGTTGCCTACAACCACTCATAAAACCTCTCTTACAAGCTTCTAAACATATATAAATCCCTTGAAACTTCGACTCATGTGTGGTAACTATACATGTGGATCTTGGATTGCTTCTCAAATTCTCATGACCAAAAGCCAAAGTAGGCCAAATTGGTGTTCATTAGAGCCCTCAATCAATATTTGCGCATCCTTCTAGCCCGCCATGCAGTAACTTTATTGATTAGTAATTTCCAGTCATCTCTTACAGCCTTAATAATGAGTTTTGACTTCCAATCAGGGTCAACCTTGAAAGTCTCCAAGTACATCTCAGCAATATACTTAGCTGTACAATATCTATTTGTTCTATCTCTATACATGTGTGCTGCGAAATGAATGTCTTTATTTGCACGCAACCCTTCTTCTTATTCCATGAAGCCCAAATCTTCCACTTACAATTCTTTTTCTTTGGCACACTCCTTGTGCTCTCTTATCATCATTTGCCTTAAACTTCAAATTACGCCTTGTGACTACTCTATGATGTCCAACTGCTTTCTTAAATTCTTCTATGTTTTTGAACTCTTTTTTGACCTCTAATTGTGTATTAAACTTCTCAATCTTATCATCGTAAATGGGAAACGATAATTATTTTCTTCACCTGAAGAATGATCAGTATGCAACTTCTCTTCAGACTATGCATAATATGGATCATCCAATTCCGAGCCATTATCTTGACCAGCTGTTTGAAATTTAAGGTCTGCATTTAAACCAACCACAACTATTTTCGGTGCATTTCTCTGATAATGAAAACCACCATCGTCCACATCATCCTCCGAGTCATTTAACTGGCACTCAACTGCAACAAATCTTCACTCTCATTGTTCGTCACTAGAATGCAAAAAGACCAGGGTTAATGTTTGGTACATACATATTCGGCCTAAGGTATTGCGACAAAGGTATGGATAGGGTTAAGGTATTGCAACAAAAGTGCTAGGGTTTCAGTGAATCTAATTAAAATACTGACTATTTCAAAAAATTCAGCTTAGAATTATTTAGATAAACATCTATTTTATTATTATTATTTTTTTTTTTGACTACTTTATTCCCATGAGGAAACAAGCATGTTCCAACAATATATTATAAAAATTTACATTCTTGTGGTCTTTCTTGCACATTTTCCATACAATTATTGTCCATATGAAGGCCTCGTGGGCAACCTATGCCCTTCATTATGCAGATGAGAAGAATCTCAAGCCTAATACGTTGATTTCAGGGAGAATTTTGAAGAAATTGATAGGTTTTCTCTTAATTTTCTCTTCCAAGGCAGAAGTGTCGTGAATAATGGTAGAAGGCATGATTTTAAGAGAAGAAAATGTCGTGGGTTTAATTCCAGGTTGTCAAGATTTAATAGAGAAAGTTTACCACATTTGATTAATGTTATCCACGTGTAATTTTTTTGTTTATTTGGAGAAAAAGAAGTTTAACGAGTGGTAGATGGATAATTATATAGAAAGATGAGTGATCAATGGGTAACCCGTCAAAGATCAGTGAGTAAGTGGTAACAATTTTAAAGTTCAGTGTCGATTGATTAAATTTACTCATGTTCACACATTCTATTCTTCTCATAAAATTACTCGATAAATTTAATATTGTCGATAGTCACATCGGTTGTGAAACACCCCAAGTTTAGAAAATTTTGAACTCATGATTTCTAGCATTTAATAGTCATTTAAGGAATAAATGCATCAAATTAGATAAAAAAGAAAATTAATAATATGAATTAAACTTAAATGATATCATAGTTTTGTGGAATTCACAAAAGTCATAAACAGTCAAGTACGAAAATTTCATCGTTTATTTAAAATAATTAAAGCAAGCTTCAAAATAATTTCAATTGTCTTAGTAGCATGGAATATAGAATATTTAAATCGGACAGAACTGGTTCCATCTCGCCTCAAGGGATCGCATTGCATCATCTAGCTCTCATCATCTGAAATTTTCATGATAAAATGGAATGAGCTAATGCCTAGTAAGCAAACATTGTGCATATGATGCATGCTTATGGTATGCATATACATTACTTAAAATAAATAGCTTTTCATTTATGTATCCCATTTCGTTTCTTTTCTTTAAAAATATTGACGTCGTGAGCTCACTTGGTATATCTCCTAGCCAATCAGAATGCGGTGGACAATTATTATTTGGAACTTGATCGAGTCCTACCGGTAGTACCGCAAAGCGGTTAACATTAGCATTATCATTGATCATTGAACATTGGTCGGGTGCACCGTCCCCCACGCCCCATTTTCCACTCACACTTTTCATGGCATAGACATATACCTCGCAATAAAACATTTGGGATGCATATCCTTAAAAACATGCATTGACTCGGTGACCTTTGGAAACTTGTATTCCTTGAAAGTTTCATGTATGCTCGTGGATGCATTGACATGTATAAATATTTAATGAGAAACATTAATAACACAAAACATAATAATCAAATATCGTATTAACATAAGGACCGATTTAGATAACACATTTATACGTTTAACCATATCTCATGTTTAAAAGCGGAGGGAGGTTGACTTACCTCGGATCCTTACAATTCACTTTTTAAATAGCAAAGGGAGGTGTCCCTGATCACCACACGGTCAACGTGCCAAATATCCTAGGTCATTATCATTCATTTTAAAAACATTTAGACAATATTTAATGTTCATAAATCAAACCATATCATTATTGATAAAATAATTATCGTCATTAGAGCCTAGAGTGTAAGTAGAAAGTGTTCGTAATTACATTGAAATTTAAAAGTGAGATTTTTTGTTAAGGAGTACTATCAACTTAAATAGGTGCCGACGGGTTTACATAAAAGAAAATCCATGTTACGGTATAATTAGTGAATGAATCGATGGGGGACGGAAAAAAAACAGAAATGAAGAAGTAAGACATGCACTACAAAGGACTAAATATAAAAACATGTAGATAAATCAATTTCAAAACAATTTAAGTGATGACCACAGACTTTAAGCGAAAAGACAGAATGGTTTTCCTTGCAAAAATTAACACAAATAATTAGCTTATAAATTCCAAGAGCCAAATTAGAAATAATTATATGGTACACTAATTGGAAATGAATTAATAATGAATTTTCAGCCCAAGAATGCCATTGAAAGGGAAAGTACTCTTCATTTTACTTTCATATAAAGCTGTTAACTAATACACATGTATACAATCCCATCTAATTAACTTTTAATTTGAGGAAATTGAATTACACAGGTTTTGATTATACAAATGATTAAGTAGACAGGTAAAGAGAGGTCAATCGGTAAAACAATTAAGTGGAATAAGAAATCATATAATAGTGGTTTCATAATTCAAGAGTTCACCGAATGCTTGCAGCTCAATAAAATAATATAGATATCCAAATTGGTAGAAATCTGGGATTGTTCCTAAATAGAGTGAGAGGACAGGCTTATGAGGAATTGAAGGTAGTAGCAAATCTAAAAAATGTTGGCAATAACAAATTGAATTTGAAATATCTTAACGAGTAGCACGAGACTTAAATCTCAGAAGAAACCGATGCAAAGGATGAATGTTTGGGAGTTGGGGTTGCAAGGAGGTATAAGTAGGGAAAATATCTTGATTATTAACCTAAGGATAGTAAATTAGACGTAATTTATGGTCTCGAATTAATGAGACTTCTTTTATGCCCTATTAACTTATTTAGATACTTAAATTGGTCACTTACTTCTATATTAACTTACACAAAATTGGACTTACCAAGAAAAGAAAATATTCTAACATCATTTCTACATTTAATCCAAAAGCGAGGCAATTTCAAAGCAAATGATAAAATTAGTATCATTTGTAATAAAACTAAGTTCACTTAAATTATAGATGTGTTAAACTTAAATTAATAGGCACGTCGACTGCTTGGAGCGTCCAAGGGACATTCCATTGCAAAAGAATTTAATTAATCATGAAAAGGATAGTCACATTAATTATTAAGTAAATGCAATATTAATACAATATCTAGACAAACGTTGTAATGACGAGAAATAATAACGTTGCGTCACAAGTTGAGTAACCATATATTTAAGAAAAATTAACAAAAAACAAATTTTAGTTTGAAGAAATTAGACCAGCCCAAAAGAAATACTCTAGAGTGAAAAAATTGAATAATAAAGTGTTAATTAAGCCTCTGTTCGCATACAAATTTAATAATAGTTCGTAAATCAAACACTAATTTCAACTATATATTTATAATTATTATTCATTATTATAGATCGACCTATTCCTCTTATGAATCATTTATGCCAAACACATATTTGAACTAAGCTCTACTAGAGCCCTATTCTCTAAAAAATGATTTTTGATAATTTTTATTCAAAAATCATTTTTAATCACACATTTTCTTAATAAAAAATAAGGGATAATTGCAGTAGAAGTTCCAAACCTTTTAAACACTAGCAAACTTTCTCCTAACCTTTCATTTATTGCAACCGTCGCTCTAAACCTTTTAAAATGTTGCATTTGAAACCATTTTGGATGAAATTCGTCAAATTTATCATTAGTTGACCTATAAAAGTGATTTTGACCAAAAAAATAATTTTGACCACAGTTTACTCAATTTTAAAGAGGCAAAATATGAATTTAATATTTATATCA